TAATAAATAAATCGTTTGTTTAAATAATAATAATGATAATAATAAAAAAAACCACCGCGTAATAAAAGTTAACGGTTAATTAATGGTCATCACCGATAAAAAAAAAAAAAAAAAAAAAAAAAAAAAAAAACACCTACGCATTTAACCTATTATTTATTTATTTATTTATTTTCTCGTGCCACGACGACGACCATTTTTTTTTTTTTTTTGTACCTTTCTCGCAAAAGGTTTCCGTTTCGTGACAGAGAGAGAGAGAGAGAAAAAAAATTATCCCTTTATTTATTTACGGAAGAAAACGCCCATTTTTTATGCATAAATAAATAAATAAATAAAAAATACCGTAACAACAACAACAACAACAACCACACTTGTCACGCGGCGTGCGTGCGTTATATTACGCAGCAACAACTTATGGGCATCAACAAACAATTTTATTATTTCAAAATTGTTGCAATGACCTTTAACTACAATGTAATAATAATAATAATAATAATAATAATAATAATTCCGTAATCGATATAAAAACATTTATATGTAAAAAAATAAACACACGCGTAAAAATTTTATTATTATTATTATTATTATTATTATTATTATTATTATTATTATTATTATTATTATTATTATTATTATTATTATTATTATTATTATTATTATTACGTCGATTTCGTTAGGTCGATTCCCCGTTACGTAAGAGTGACTAATAATAATAATAATAATAATAATAATAATTTCGAAAGGTTTAATCGTGATTGAATTTAAATTCTAATCAAAGTTGCGAGTAAACTTGTTGCGCTTTTACCCTACATTCCATCATCATCATCATCATCATCAACATTTAAATTATTTATTTATTTTTCGACTTATTATCATTTTTATTTAACCGCATTATTATTATCATTATTATTAGATTTCGAACGTCGTTGTTCGTTTTATGTATAAAAGCATTTTAGATGATGATTCAGATATTTGTTAAACCCGAGTGTTTTAAGAAAAAAAAAAATTTTTTTTTAAACAGACTTTTTATCGACCCTGTCATTATAAAAACCATTTGAAAAGGAAGAAGAAGAAGAAGAAGAACAATCATTCATCAAGAATCTGGGTCATACACACACACACACACACACACGCACGCACGCACGCATAACTTTAATGATGAATCAGAGAATGTGAAAGAGTTTTTTTTTTTTTTTTTTTTTTCCGTCGTTATGGACTAAGAAGGTGTATGTATATATAAGGAAATGGATTTTGTTTTGTAATGCGAGGTGACGATCGATCAAACAACCAACAAACAACAATTCAACAAACAACACAATTCTTTGGTTTTTTTTTTTTTAAAAAAATATTTACAATTGAAATTGGATTAAGTTAAGAGAGGTGAGGATTTTACACAGGCACACAAACACAATAAAAGAAAGAAAGAAATAAAAGCACGCGGCGTTTGTTCATTTTTGCTTGTTTGTTTGTTTGTTTGTTTGCACACGTATTTATCACACTCTACGAATTTATTTATTTGAATTTTTTTTCTTTTTATACGAGATTAGCAATTTGCTAATTGACTCGGGTCATTCGGTTAAAAAATAAAAAAAATTTAACCCAATATCGAATAATTAAATGGTAAAAAAAAAAAAAAAAAAAAACCGTTTTTTAATTTGCCCTGACATTAAATTTCTCCTAATGATTGTTTTGCATTTCCTGTTGTTGTTTGTTTGTTTTGACATTCGAACAACGAAACAAAATAATTTTTTTAACCGGTTAACGAATAAAAAAAAAAAAAAAAAAAAACTTTTGTGGTTATAAAAAAAAAAAATTTTTTCAAGCCCCGAAAAAAATTTTTTTTTTTTTTGATAATAATGATAAGAAGATAAAAGTTGAAAAGTTCAAATCTCAGTAGGGCCTTAATTAAAAAAGTTTTTTTTTTTTTTTTTGATAATAATTGTATTAATTAACGTTTCCTACCTTGAAATTATCTCTGATGAACACGCGCATGAAAAATAAAAATGAAGCTTTACGGGGGTCAACGACGGTTAAGTTGACCATCATCATCATCATCATCATCATCATCATCATCATAATCATCATCGTCACCGCCACCACCACCACCACCACTTCCACTTCCACCAACACGGAAAGTAAAGTGAGAACCAAATCCAAACCTGAAAAACAAAAAAAAAAAAAAATGTAATTGAATGCATCGAAGGGAAGTAAATACGAAGATTAAATGACGTATTTAAAATAATAATGATAATGATAATGATAATGATAATAATGATAATTCTATTAAGCGAACAAAAGTTTTTTTTTTTTATTTTTAAGGTTGCGTCGTAATAAGTAACCGGTTGGGAAATGTTTTTGGTCACACACACACACACACACACACACACGGTCAGAATTTTTTTTGTTTAGCCCTCTCTAGCTCAAATGATGCTGTAACTCGGGTTAATCTTGAAACCGCGGTATCCTGCAACCTGAAAGAACAACAACATTAACACAAGACCTAGGTGCCAGAATGTCAATGAACCTAACATTAAAACTGGGTCACTTTGCCCGGACGTTGAACTTGTGTGTAGTACATGCTGATCTCAACCGACCGAAATGGGTCAAGATTTGCCATTGAACTCGTGTGACGTCATTTTGCACATCGATCATTCACCTTATTGTTGTTCAGCTGATAACCAACTTTTTTTTTTCTTCTTCTTCATATATATACATGTAATTTTTTTTTCTTTTCTTTTCTTTGTTTCACTGTAATTAGTTACTTCCACGTTTTTTTTTTTTTTCTCTTCTTCTTTCTTTCTTTTCCTCTTATTCACACATTTGATGTGATTTGTTTTGTTTTGTTTTGTGTGTAAAAGCTGTTTCACAAAATTTTCCGGGTTTCCTAATTTAATTTTCATTTGAATGGATCAATGCCCTTATTAACCTACTCTCTTTTCTTTCTTTTCTTTTGTTTTAAACAAAATCCCCTCTTGTTGACACTTGACAATTTTCACAGCTTAATCACCAGAATTTTTTTTTTTCCTTCCATAAAAGTTTTTCGCACCTTTGTTCCATTTTTTCTCTTTTCTTCTTTTGTAATTTTAATGTCTGTGAGAGAGAGAGAGAGAGGGAGAGAGGGGGGAGAGGGGAGACTCCACATCAATGAACGGTACCGTTAATAAATAAATTGAATTTGTTTTTTTGTTTTTCCCCTCCCCTCCCCCCATCATCGACCTCGACATTAACTTTTAAATTACGAACAAGGCCTGCGTTTAAAAATTTTATTCAGTACGACAGCACGCACACGCACACGCACACGCACGCACACACGCACACAAAATTAATTTTTACATATAATATTTTAGTCATTGATTTATTATTTACTATTCTTGACACTGAAAAACAAGAAAAATCCACTTTCATGGTCACCACTTGATTTTAATTTTTTTTTTTTTTTCTTTTTCTTTTTCTAATCGGTTGGGTAACAAAAATATTGTTAATTTTATAATGTTAACTATACTTTCTCTTTTTCTTTAAATAAATAAATTATTATTATTATTATTATTATTATTATTATTATTTCATGCATAAACCCTATTTGAATTATTATTATTATTATTATTATTATTTTGTATAAATGTTTGTATAAGAGTCAGACATAAAATAAAAGAATTCTTTGGTTGTTTTTGTTGTTGTTATTGTCTCCAGTATCAAATTATTTTTGTGTTATGATAAAAAATTTACCTACTGAACTTGTAAATTATGTTGTTGTCATTGCAGTTTATCATTTATTTTATGTTTCAAACATTTTTATGTTTTATGTTTTCTGTCTGACTGTATATTGATTGTACATAAATAAATTTTTACATGTGTGAAAACAAAACAAAAAGGGGGGCGATGAGAAGATTTTTGTTTTTATAACTTAAATAATAAATAATAAAATAATAAATTTTTGTCAACTTACAGTTTGTTGTTTGTTGTTTGTTTTGTTTTGAATAGGTGTGCCAAATTCCTCATGTTTTATTTTCTAGAGATTTAAATATATTTGAAGTCATTGGGAGTCATCATCATCAATTTGAATAATCATCATATAAAGAGTTGATATATGTACATAACCGTTGAATAATTTCGATTATTATTATTATTATTATTTACAACTTTATAACATTTCCTGTTTTAAAATTTATGTGGTCGTCGCCATTTTATAATGTGAAAATTCAACATCATATTATTGAATTTTTACAGTCAGACATTTTAATTGTTTATATCTAAAAATAAATTTATCATTATTATTATTATTATTAAAATAAAGTTTGCAGAAAAAGGCAAAATCATCCGATAAAGTTATGTAAATTTAAAAAAAAAAAAAAATCACGAGAACATGACTAATCGAAATGAAAAAAAAAAAAATTAAACTTACAGTTTATTCGCACGACATCTATTTTAATAATTGAAAACCGCCATCGACCGCCATTTTGAAATTTTTTTTTCAAACTTAGAGTAAAAAGGGTTTAAGTTAAACGTAACGTAGCATCCGCTTATGCCCTAATGCGTTTCTGAAAATAAAATATTTTCATCGTAAAGGTTTTTTTAAAAAAAAAAAAAAAATAATAATACAAGGCAAACGTTACATTAAAAAAAAAAAAAATATGGTTACAATTAGAGAAATATTTTGTGAAAACAGGCGAGTATAAATATTATCATTTTTTTTTCGTTTATTATTTTTTCTCACATCGAGGACGATATAATGTGATTTTTCTTTTTTTTTGTTTTATGTAAAGTGATTATCATGTTTTAAAAATATGTATTTATATTGTATGGTGTTTGTTAGTAAATACCTGGACATCTAAAATTACCTTCTCTAAACATAAATCTTGGCAAATTTCTTTATTATTATTATTATTATTTTCACGGTGGTTTTAAAAATAATAATTAGTTTATTTGAATTGTTTAAATTAATATCAATTGGCTATATTAACAGGTTTCCAGGAGGATGGAAGCTTATACCAATTTTAATATACATGCCGGTAGGTTTAATCCTGGCAACAATTCGAGTATTTATCGGAATACAAGTTGTATTAGCAGCAACAGTGCTGTACAAGCTATCATCGATTCATTCAATTGTATTAAGATTCATGTGTGGGATACTCGGTATCATTGTGATAAAAGAAAATGAAGAAGTCGAAGATGAAACGGTTAAAGTGATCGTATCAAATCATGCATCATTATTGGATCATTTGGCTATACACTTAATTAGAAATAGTTTTTCGACAAAATCTTGCGACTTGCCAACATTTTTACATCAGGGTTTCAATTATAAAGATATGGGTGTCAATCAAAACCAAGAGCTTTTTATTAAAAATGTAAAAAGCTTTTTGAATAATGATGTCACTATCGATATTCAACCGGAAGGTGGAATCACATCTGGGAAAAAAGGATTACTTAAGTAATACTTACATGTATTTTATAATTATTTCTTTGACGATTACATCACATTATCATTACTGATTGATTTCATTGTGTATTTACAGATTTTCAGTGTGGCCATGTAAATTATCTTGCCCAATTCAACCAGCAGTAATTAAAATATGGAGACCTCCATTAGTCGATGTATCAGTTTCTGTAATTAACACATCATGGACATCTGATTTATTTTGGTTTTTTTTCGTGCCATTTACGGTATTTAAAATTAAGTGAGTTTATTTTTTTTTGTTCTCCATTTGTTTAAAATAATAAAAACCATGCAATCATTTACATAATATGTCATTTACAGATATCTTACCGTTGTGAAACAAATGGAAAATGAATCTCCTGAAGACATGAGTAAAAGAATCGAAACTCTTATTGCAAACGAACTTGACGTTCCTGTAACAAATTTTACAGTTAACGATAAATTAGAATTAGAAAAAAGATTATCTTGCGAAATGAAAGTAATTAAACAACCGCAAACAATCAGGACGAACATTGATCCGGGTTTAATAGAAATGGCGTCCAAAGTGAAAGACGTTCTTCCCGATGTTCCACTTTCGGTTATTTACAAAGATTTAGGCACGTTATTTTTTTGAATATCGAACGTTTTCAATATATCGTTCGATATTCGATATTATCGATTATAAAAATTCAAATATAATTTGATATACATTTTTACATTTTTTTTTTTTAGCAAGGACCAGAAACGTGGATCTAACGGTCGCAAACTTTTTAGAAGGACTAATTAAATACACACCGGAAAAAATGACGTCATCGTCGTCTGATTCTCTCACGTCGACGACAAGCGGTTTCGAAAATAGGAAATCGTCGTTAAATGCAACAGTTGGAGGAAGTGCGCAACCTTCTACGTCATTTAATACGTCATCGAAAACATTTCATAAATCCGCACAGGAAAGAATGATTTCTTTTCAGGAGCGTAAACTAAGATTAATACAAAACGCGAGGCAAAGATACATAGAAAAACACGCATTGAACGTTATGAATAGCAGTTAACTGTCGTTTTTTTTCCCCCTTTTTTTTTCTTTTGTAATGACGAATATATTCACGACTGAAAATAATTAATAATAATCGAAGGTATCATCACGAGGTTTTAGTAATAATAATAATGATAATATAACATACATAAATGCGAAAATGCCATTTTGTTTTTTTCGGTCTCTTGTTATTCATCCGATACAAAAAAAATTTTTTCTCTTCTTATGATTACTTCTAGAAAGAAAGAGAGAGATAGATAGAGAGAAAAACGTCACAACATTTAAATATTATACAATAACAAAAAAACAAATCATATGCTTGATACCTACGAATAAAAAATTGTTTTTCTTGTGTGTAATGGATCCGAGTACCTGGAAGTGAAGACTTTTTTTTTTTTTTTTATTTACAAAAAATGAAGTTATAATAATAATAATAATAATAATAGTTACATACGTCACAAGAATAGGTTGTGGTTAATATAAATAAATATATATATATATATATATTTTTACTTCGATTAAATCAATATTAAAATACATATTGTTATGAAATTTAACAAGAGAGAGAGAGAGAGAGAGAGAGAGTAAGAGAAAGAGAGAGAGGAAGAAAAAGAAAGAGAGAGAGAGATGAAAAATAGTTTTTTTTTTTTTTTTAAATTGATATTAAAATACACGATTTAGTAAGTTTTTAGTAAAAGAAAAATAATAATATGTATTTCATTTAATTAATTATTAAATAAAATGATTCGAAAGTACTATTATTATTATTATTATTATTATTTTACAATCCTTTTATTTATTTTAATGATAATTTTAAACATATTTACGATATGATAATTTTTATTAATAATAATAATAATAAATAAAATAATAAAAATCCTTTTTAAAAATAATAATAATAACGCGTGAGAAATTTATTTTTTAATTTTCTTATCATTAACGTTATCACAAACTGAAATATATATATATATATATTTATTTATTAAACATTTTGAATCGTTTTTTTTAATACCAATTTTATTAAATACTTTTAATTAATATATATATATATATATATATATATATTTAATAATTTAAAATTTTAATTAATAAAATAATTTTTTTTTTCTTTTTCTATATAATATAATATTAATTTAAAAATTATGAGATATATATATATATATATTTGTTGTGTTAAATGTCTGAAATTATATATATATATATATATATATATATATATATATAAATAAATAAAAATTAAAACAAATATAAATTTTTAATATTAATTTTATTATTACTATCATCATCATCATCATCATTATTAATATTTTTCTTTTCCAATTAATTTCGCGAATTACCGTAAAAAATACTTTAGTGTAATTAATTAAGTACTGACGATAATTTTTTTTTTACCTATAGAACGATAATAATAATATTTTAATAATAAAAAGGGTTAAAAATTGTTAATAATAATAATAATTAAGAATAATGTTAATAAAACGAACGAACGAACGAATGATGATAATAACAGTAATAATAATAATAATAATAATAAGTTTTGAGATTCTTGTTAAGTTAAAATTATAACATTTTTTTTTCTTCTTTATGCAAATGCTGAGTATTTCGAGATGGGGGGAGGGGAAGGTGGGGGAGGAGATAATAAAAAAAAAATTCATTTTATGAGTTCGACGTAATTAGCAGGAAATAAACCGAAAACTCCATGAGGTCCGAGACCTTGCCACCATCCTTCATCGATTTGATCTATGTGTGTTATTATATCTCCTGGATCGAAAGATATTTCCGTTTCGTCATCTGTAAATATTTTCATTATTATTATCGAATAAAGTCGTAAAAAAAAACTTATTCGTTTGATTATAATCAATCAATCAATCAATCACCTGCTTGGTAATCGTAGAGAGCTCGAGCGGTAAGTCCATATTCTCCATTATTGATAAACTGATTGTCAGACTCGTTATTTTTATTATCCATATTGCTTTTCGCGTCCATTTCGCTTTTATCGTGTTCTAAATATTCTACGGGTGCTTCTTGTTTCACTGATGATGATCCGATAACATTTTTTTTATTTAAATAAATTCGTGTTGCGGGGCGTTTAGGACTACGCCCCGTGTAAAAAAATCAAAATCTTTACTTACCTTCCCATTCTTGTTCCTCTTGTATGACGACCGGTTTTTCTATTTCTTTTACATCATCACCATTGTTTTCCTCGGTGTTCACGACAGTAACGTTATTCTCCATCGAATTGACATTATTATCCGTTTTAGTATCGGATGATCCCGAAAGCCACGTCGGCAATGAACCTTTTCTAATCGAATTCGTTACGATTTTCTCATCATTTGAAATTTTTTCTGATGACGTTTTGCACGTGTCTTCTTCTTCTTTTCTTACTCCGTTCACGTGATAACTACTTGCTCTTCTCCTGTTCATTTGCATAGCGCAAGTATTTTGTTCGAATACGGCTCTAGCATCGATGGTTCTTTTAGCTATCAACTGTTGAGCTTCTTGACTCCTTTGACGACGTAAAACTTCAGCTCTCTCACGTCTTTCTTTTTCTTCCTTTTCCGAATCTTCTAATAATTTTTGACGACTTAATTCTTCGGTTACTAAAAAATAAATTTTATTTCAAACGTGGAAGAAGATGAGGAAAATTTTCTTTTAATCATTCTTACCCTCGTTTATTCTCTCGGCTTCTCGTATTTGATTAATGCATCGATTTCGTTCGATCATTTTTTCTTCTCTTTTAGCCGCTTCTTCCGTTTCTATTCGTTTTCTTTCATCCTCCAATTTTTTCCTTTCCATTTCTTTTCTAATCCTTTCTTCTTCTTGTCTCTGCCTTTCTTCTTGTTCTTCCTTCTCCCAAAATTTATCTCTTTCCGCTGAATTAATTTCTTGCTTAGGTATAACTCTTTTATACGAAGTACCCTGAAAAATTATTTTTCAAGTTACCGTTTTAATTATGACACATATTACGATGTGAAAAGCAAAGCATAAAGGCTTACCACAGGCCCCGTTACTTGATCATGATCTATTCTTTCTTTAAAACTATATGCAGATCCTGTAGATTTTGATACTCTATCGATAATAATTTGTGAATCTACTTCCTCTTCAGTTCTAGCATTAATCGTTACATGAGCTCCTTTGAAAAAATTACCAACATCCCTAACATGATTTGCACAAGTGCCTTAAAAAAAAAAAAAAAAAAAAATTTTTTTCTTAAATGCAAATTAAAATATTTCTACAATTGTCGCAAATATATGAAATAATAATAATAATAATCACACCTTTACGAACATTCGGTGCTCCTTCACCTTGCCAATTGATCAAAACATTTTTTGGAAGACTAGTTTTAGGATCCATAACTTTAAGAAATGCATACATTATTTGACCGCTGTTAAGATCTTCAGTCATTTCTTCGATACCATCACCTTATAAGTAAAAAAAAAAATGTATTATGAGGTATCACAATACATGAAATAAAATCACATTGGGAATAACTTACATCCTTTGCTAACAACTTTCAAATCATTCGACAATCCTTCATATCCGAATAATGCCCTGAAAAACAAAAATAAAATACTGTGCTTGATTACTTAAAGTTTTAATAGGTATGATTCCGGTATATAAACAAATCTTTTAGGGGGATCGGTAAAAGAAGAAAATAATTCACAAAAAGTTTTTTTTTTTTTTTGCAAAGATGTTTGTTTAAAAAACAACAAATAAAATTAACTTAACTTTTTTTTTTAAAAAATAATTGATTAATGAGTTAAGTTTAAGCAGGCTCTTGTCAAAAAAAAATTTTTTTTTTTCCAAAAAAAAATTATTCTTACCAATTTGTTTGAGTTTTATCATTTAAAACATCATTCCAAGCTGCTAATAACTCGGTACGATTTTTATTTAAATTAATAGCCATTTTCTTTTAAAAATTCATGAATAATTAAAAAAAAAAATTATAATTAAATGTCAAACACATACACGCACCACTTGTTACAAACGTAGTTAAATTATGAGTATTAAAAAAAAAAAAAAAAAAAACGTCAACCACAGCCTGTTCGAAATGATTTTGATTAAAATGAAAAGTTTTTTTTTTTTAAAAGTTGTGTTCACTGTTTTGTAAAATAATAATAATTTTTTTTTTTAAAAAAATAACAATTAAAATGCATACTCGTAATTTTTTTTTTTTTTTTTACATTATGTCATTACAATTTAAACAAAAAATAGATCTTATAATAGAAATTTTAAAATAAATTCAGTAAAAGTTTAAATAAAAAATAAAATAAAATTTATGTTATGTTGGTAGAAATTCCCTACTACCGTATTCAGCAATGGTTTAGTGTCATTCCATATTTGTAATTATCAATTTTTTTTTTTTTTTAATTTGTTTTAAATGTTTTGTGATGTCAAAATAATTATTAAAAAAAAAAACCAAACGTTACCAAACGTTAAAGTTTAATTTAATTGAAGAAATCATTATTTGTGATAATAAAAAAATATTTCAAGTAAATAACCTTCTTTCTCTTTCTAACTTATACAACATATTTCTGTTAAATTTTTAAAAAAAAAAAAGACAATTTATCGTTAAATTTTTTAAATTATTTTTCATTGTTTTCCTATAAATATTTTCAATGAATGTGAAGTGAACAAAAAAAAAAAAAAAAAAATAATTACTAAAGTTAAGCATAATTAACATAATGTAAAAAATTGAGTACTAGTTAAAAATATGTCAAGTTTATCAAAGTGATTCATTTCTTATTTTTATTTTACAAAACAGTGTATCATTATTATTATTATCATCAATCTAAAATATCATTATTATTATCATTTTATTTCAGTTATGAAAAAAAATTATGAAATATATTATAAATTATATGTTAACTGAACTGTTTGATTTTTTTTGAATTTTATGATTTGATTCGATTGAATTTTATAGTTTCAAGGTTTACTACACATTTTATAAAATGTATGACTCATCTTTTCAATATATGATTCTTTCTTCGGTTTTTCCGGAATGATATAATTTTTTTTTTTTTTTTTTTTTCAGGGCTAGCGTTTTAATATAATAAATAAAATTATTAAAATGATAATAATAATAATTGTTACTGCCAATAAATTTTGGCATTAGAAAAATCATTTTAACGAGAGAGAGAAAAACATGCCTGGCAAATTAAACGAATCAAGAGAATCAAATTGCATTTGTGACGGTTTAACCGAAATGGATGGCGACATTCATAAAAGTCAAAATTCTGATGAAATAAATGTAAACGAATCTGAGATTAAAAACAACTGGTTTAAAACATGGCCGAATGAAAAAAATTATGACAAGTTAAATCAAATATCCGATTCCAATATGGATTCCGATTCGGCTGAGAATTTTAAAAGTATGAAATCTCAAATACCCTTAAATAAGTTACTAGATAAAATTCCACTAGCATATTCTCCCATTACTAAACAAATACATATATTAACATCGAATGAAAATAAAATTTTAACTCGTGAAAATTATCAGTTAGTCGACGATAATGAAAATTTGGATGATAGCGACGAGGACACTCGACAATTTTGGACTTCTTCGACCACGCCTCAAATTAACGATGAAGGTAACAAAATGACACATTCCAAAAAATATTCATAATAATGATGATAAAATAAATGTATTTGAATTCAAATTGCATTTGTGTGTCGATTCAAGATGTTTTAATCATCTGTATGAAAAATATTACAGGTAAAAATTTAGTTCTTCAATCGTGCATGCAAGAAACAAACGAATGCGAAGAAAATAAATTAAATAAATTATGGAATAGTAAAATTGGTTACTCCGATGAAAAATGCGAAAAAAATGGACGTTTAAAAACTGAACAAAACATGGTTAAAACAGAAACAAGTTCATTTTCTAGCATAGTCTCAAGTCTAAGTGATTCTAATTCTCACATTGATGAAAGCATGTCGAATAAATTTAACGTAGTAGAAGATAATGATGAAATGTCTGTTAGAAGTCATTGGAGTCATGATTCCGGATCAACTTGCGAAGAAAATAGTAAATTTTTCGACAATAAGTGTAAAATCCCTGGGAATAAAGATGATAAAAGAAAAAGTGGATTTTCTGGATTTTTCACAAAGTATGTATGTTTTCTTTTACATGGATGATATTTCCCAAATTTTTTCTATTTATCTATTCGTCTCAATTAAAAATAAATACATTCGAAACCCGAGTGAAACTCATACAAAAAAAAAAAAAAAAAAACAAATTCTGTCGATAAAAACTAATTAGCATGTCAATGTAAAAATATAATTTGTCGTTTTTGAGGTTTACTTTTTGTCAACGACATCTTTTCGAGTTAAAATTTTTTTTTAAATTTATAATTTTATAATTTTTATCTTTCGTGTTTGCTCAAAAATTGGATATGAAAAAATTTAATTATTGTTTTTATTTCAGAAACGTTTTTACATGGAAGCCAACAAACGCTTTATCATCTCACGGTTGGAAATTATTTGGAAAAGTTTCGAACAACGATGAGAAAACGTCATCGAATAATCCCACGGTATTCGAATTCGAGGTACGAAATATTCAAATTTTAGAAAACCTTTTTCGAAAAGGTTAGTGTAATCAAGGGTGTAATTTTTTTTATTTTAGAACCAATCATCGAGCAATGATTCACCCGCGACTGTTAAAAAATACGAAGACGTCGTTATCAGTAGCTCGGCATTGATATTGCATAATCGTCCGGCAAATTTACCCGCAAAATCTTTGGACGAAAAATTAAAACACGAATTGGAATACGAGCAAATTGTCGAAGCTGCCAAGAGAAAGGGTAATAATTGATTCCCCCCACTCCCCCCGCTGAAACATCCTTTAAAATGATTTTTCTTTGTCGGTTTTTAGAATTGAAAGAGTCCAAGAAAAGAAAAAAACAAATCCAACAACAATTGAAATTTGAAGAACAATTAACGAACGCTTCGAAAACGTGGAATTTGGATATTTTACCAAAATGGGAAACGATGAAAAATACTAAAAAAACCCGGGATTTGTGGTGGTCTGGAATTCCACCCTCTCTCAGGGGAAAAGTATGGAAATTGGCAATCGGAAATGATTTGAATATAACTCATCAATTGTACGAAATTTGTCTTGCCAGGTACCTACTACGACTCGATAATTACTTTCAGGTTTAAAAACTATTTTAAGTTAAATAAAAAAAAATTTTTTTAAATCTTACCCAGAGCGCAGGAAAAATTAAAATCCGGAGGAGGAGGAGGAAAGAAAAAATCTTCTCGAGAAAACAGTCCGAGTAGTTCTGGTAACAAAGAATCCAGCGTCGAACTCATACAATTGGATATATCCAGAACTTTTCCACAATTGTGCATTTTCCAAGAGGTTTAGTAATTTCCACCCACGCACATTTCTTCTGGAAGATAATAATTATTAATTGTTTTAATTTTTTTTTTTGTTTTTCCAGGGAGGTCCTTATTATGATATTTTACATTGTTTGTTGGGTGCTTACGTTTGTTACAGACCAGACGTGGGTTACGTTCAGGGAATGTCTTTCATAGCGGCAATATTAATTTTAAATTTGGAACCCGCGGATGCGTTTGTTTGTTTTGCCAATTTGCTCAATCGTCCCTGTCACATGGCATTTTTCACGTTGAATCAAACTCTGGTATAAAAAAAAATCGAAATTTTACAATGTAAGAGAGAGAGAGAGAGAGAGAAATAATTATTTCCGTTTCAGATGAATGCTTATTACGAAACGTACAATAGTTTTTTAAAAGAAAATTTACCCAAATTGAGTCAACATTTCGAAGAATCTTGTCTCACTCCGGATTTGTATTTGTTGGATTGGGTTTACAGCGTTTTTGCCAAATCCATGCCTTTGGACGTTGCTTGCAGAATTTGGGACGTTTTCCTAAGAGACGGAGAAGAATTTCTATTTCGAACTGCTCTAGGTAGGTAGAGTTTTAATGGAGTTTCAAAATTTTAGAATTGAACCTGAAACAAAAAAAATATTACTTTGTCATACATTTTTTTGTTCAAGGTATTTTACATCTACATCAAAACAAATTGTTAAAATTGGATTTCATAAACGGAGCACAGTTTTTAACGAAATTACCGGAGAATTTATCACCGGATCTTTTATTCAAATCAATCGATTGTATTAAAATGTCAATAGGTAAAGTGAAATTTAGTCAAATATTATCAACGTACGTTGAAAATGGTGGATCTCACCAAAGATGATATTCGATGTCGTCTTCTTTCCTAGAATGTTTAATAGATTATGCGGAATTTAAAACGCAAATTTTTATATAACGAAAAAAAACGTAAACGCTAAACGTTTTGATACAGAAAACCTGCTTTTTGTTTCCTTATCTTCTCTTCTCTGCGACTAATTAAAAACTAAACTAAAAAAACTAAACTAAAAAAAACTAAAAAGTTATCGTGCAATAATTTCATTAAGGTATATACATATTTTCATTTTCCTATTATAAAATAAATGTACAATAATAATAATAATAATAATTATATAGAAACAAAACAATATTTAAAAAAAAAATGAAGCTTTGATCTCATATAATTTTATTTTTTTAATATTTTTTTAAATATTTTATTTTATTTTGATTCTCATAATCAAAAATATTAATTATTTGACACACACACACTATTATGACACATTATTTTATTTTTATTTAAAAAAAAAAAGAAAAAAGAAATAATAATGATAATAATAATGAAATTATGGGAAAAATAATATTGGGCTATGATTGATTGATTGATTGATTGATTGATTGATTTGTTTATTAAAGTCTCATGTCATTTGATGACATTCTAGTCTTTTAGTCTTTTAATAATAATAAATATTTTGGACAAACAAAAAAAAAATAAATATAAAATTCTTGCTCTACTTTTTCTACTTTTTCTTTTTTTTTTTTTTTTTTTTTTCTTTTTTTTTTTTGTTTTGAAATAAAAATAAAATATTTACATAATTGTAATTATTAATTTTGATAAAAATATGTGTATTTATTAACATTGAAACAAAAAAAAATTATTATTATTATTATTTTTATTATTATTATTATTTTAACAAATGTTATTTAGACTGATTAAATAATTTTAACGATTTTTTTTTTTATTATTAATAATGATAATCATAATAATAGTTAATATAATGATATTAATCAAGATCAATGTGATTATAATAATATTAATAATAATAAATTATTAAAGAATGCCTTATAATGAAATAAATTTTTTTAAAAATAATTTATTAATAATAATAATAATATTATATGTTAGTTAGTTACGATTAATTATATATTTAAATGTTTATCATTATTATTATTATTATTATATATAATGAAAGAGTAATAAAGGCCAAATATTTCCATGTATAACCTGCCATTTTGTTTTTTTTTTTTTTTTTTAAATAAAAAAAATTTATGTTACTACTAATTTATATATGTATATGTTAAAAAAAAAACACCCTGTGTTCTTATATTTCTTTTTTTTTTTTTTATTTTGTTTATTCGACGACATTTTTTATTTTAATATTAAATTTTATTATTATTATTATTATTATTATTAAGTAAAAAATATTTTATAAATATTTATTTTTAATTATTTAATAATCGTATTAAGATTTATCGTTTATATATATATATATATATATATTTAATAAATAATACTCCTTATTTATTAATAATAATAATAATAATAATTATATGAAATTATTTGAATAAATTTTATTTTTTTAACGCTTTTATTATTATTATTAAATAAATGAAACGTTCGTTTACGATTATAATTATATTTATGTGTTTTATTACGTAATTATTTCATTTCCCCCCACCCCTCCCCTCCTCTCTTTTTTATTTAATTTATTAAACTCAAGATTATTAAAATATGATTTATTTATAACGCAACAACTTTTACTTACTTGAAAATAAAAAAAAAAAAAAAAATAAGTAAAAAAAACCCGCGTGTGGTTTTCGTTTCACACACAAACAATTTTTAAAATTTCGTAACGGTCATAACGAAATAACATTCGATTCGATATATCGAAACGAGATATGAAATATCTGAACGCGCAACTCGTAATACGTCATCGTCGTCGTCGTCGTCGTCGTTAAAAACCGGTTTGTCGCGTTGATTCATCGTATTTGTTATTCGTATATATATATATATAAAATAATTTTTTGTTCAGTAATATTTTTCAAATAGTTTAAAACGTTCATATAATCACACGATTGCACGTAATTTAATTAATTACAAATTAAAATAATTTTTATTTTTATTGTAAAAATAGGTGAGATATGAAAAAATTTTTTAAATATTTTTTCACGTTAAAAACGGTCAACTTAATAATAATAATAATAATAATTTGAAGAAAAAGTCACGTTTTTGTTATTTTTTTGCAAGTTTTAAGTCTTTTTTGTTGTTTGGCGTGATTTTAATGTAAAAGTAATATTTTTTTTTCGATTTTAATCATTCACGTACATAAAATTTGCATGTTTTTTTTTGCGTTTTAAAATGTAATTATCGATTACGAAGTGAGACGATTAAACGTATGAATAATTAAAATGAATGATAATAACTAACTAATTAATTTTAATATTATTGCGTCATTTTATATAATTAATTTAATTAAAAATAATTGCGAAAAATTTTTTTTTATTTTTATGTGTGATTTAATTAATGAGGTTAAAATTTTTTATTACTTGTTTACCCTGAGAATAATAATGACCTAATTGTTTGTTTTTTTCCTATTAGTAATTCTTTAATATTTAAAAAGAACCAAAACCCAAAAACTATAAATACACCGTTTTATTTAAATTATTTAAATGCAAATTTTATGTCACGTGTTTTTGTTTTTGTTCTACTTTTTACCCCATTTTTTCGTTTTAAATAATAAATTTTTTTAATAAGAAATATTTAACTCACCATTAATAACGCCTTGAGATTTTGTTTCTGTAATTATTTCCCTTTCAAAACCACAATTTATGAATCACAACTTGTATCAGGAGGAAAACTGAAATTATTATTATTATTATTATTAGGAATTATATTTTTTAAATGGAAATATTAGTAAGTGTGAGAGAGAGAGAGAGATGTAATTAAAATATTACTAAACTTACTTTAGTGTTTCCTTTTAATTTAATCCATTGTAAATATTTAGAATTTTAGTGATTCATTTCCTTACAAGTTAAATATGAAACTCATTTCAAATTCTAGAATTTCTCTGAACCTAAAATATAAAATTAATGATTATTAAACGTTTTAATTTTAAAATTGGTTGAAAAAAATAAATTTTTATAAATTAATAATTGATTATTTATACTTACCCTGTTGCAAAATAAATTTAAATTAAAAACAAAAATTTAAATTTAAATTTAAATTTTTTTTTTTTTTTTTAAAGAGATAGAAAAATTTAAATGGCTTCTGTTCTTATAACCGGTGCCAATAGAGGAATTGGTTTTGAATTAGTTAAACATATATTAAAAGAAAATGGACCGTTGAAAACAATAATAGCTACTTACAGAAATCTAGAAAGTTCTTCGGAATTGTTAGAATTGAAAAAAAAACATAATAATCTTCACGTATTGAAATTGGGTTAGTTTATATTAATAATACTAATTTTCTTATTAGAGTTTGGAAAATGGTTTATCTATAAAAAAAAATAAATAAATAAATTTTGTGTGATTAAAATTTGTTTTAGATGTTTCCGATTTGAATTCATTTCAAAGTTTCGCTCAGGAAGTCGAATCTATTGTTAAAGAAAATGGTTTAAACGTATTAATTAATAATGCCGGAGTTATAACGGATAGTAAATATGAAGATTTTAAAAATATAACTCATCAAGAATATCTTAGAGTATTTACAACAAATGTTTTCGCACCGATTTTTCTATGTCAGGTATTTTTGTTTGTTTGTTTTCAAATTCTTCTTCCTAATTTTCTTTAATGAAAATTTTTTTTTTTTTATTACAGACTTTTTTACCGCTTTTAAAAATGGCGGCGAAAAAAAATTCCGACAAACCGCAAGGTATAACTCGTTGTGTCGTAATCAACGTGAGTTCTTTATTAGGTTCCCTAACTGATAATGTCGGTGGAAAATTCTGGGCGTATCGCGAGAGTAAAACGGCATTAAATATGTTTTCGAAAAATTTGGCTAAAGAATTATCATCCGATGGAATTGTCGTGATTGCTTTACATCCGGGTCACGTGAGAACAAACATGGGCGGTCCTTCCGGTAAAATAAGCACGGAAGAATCCGTTTCCGGTATATATAAAGTCATGTTATCGTTAAACGAAAGTAAAACGGATAAATTTTTACAATGGGATGGTAAAGAATTACCTTGGTGAAGAAAAAAATATGATGGATATGGATGAACAATAATGAAAAGAAAATTATTTACGATAATAAATAAAATATATTAAAGAAAATTATTATTCGGTGTTGCGTTTGATTTTTTTCCCGATAATTCATTTTGAATTTCCTCGAATGATTTTCCCTTAGTTTCGGGTAATGCCTTATTCGAAAAAAGGATAGCCGCAAGGGATACGACGAAAAATAACCAAAAAGTACCGCCTCTCCCGAATTTCGTGACCGCGGTATCGTAAAATTGAATGACGAAAAATGCGGATAACCAATTACAAACGCTCGCAATTGAAATACCCGGACCTCTTATGCTAGACGGCATCAATTCCGACATTAACATCCAAGGTATGGCACCGAAACCTAACGAATAAACTATGACAAAAGAACTTATCGAGAGAAGGGGAAGCCAAGAAATTTCATCAACGTCAAATTGATTTTCTTTCAAATAAAAATAAAGTCCCAACAGAAATGAAAACAAAGACATTAAAATGGCGGATATTTCGAGAAGTAAAACTCTTCCAACTTTATCGACCAAAAATATTGCCAAAAAATTTCCAATCAATAACATCAATCCAATTATAATCGTTTCGTGTTTTGCATTCATTGACGTCCCCGCTTCCTGAAATTTTCCAATCCATTTTCTTTTTTCATTCGAAAAAGTTTTAAATATTAAAATTACTTACCTCGAAAATAACAGGAGCGTTAAAAATAATTGCGTTGACGCCATTTATTTGTTGAAATATCATGAGACCAATGGATATCGATAAACCTTTTATTGCCGATTTTTTTGTAAAACTTTTCCAACGAAATTTTCTTTTTTCAACTTCTTCCTTACAGTATTCGGTTAATTCTAACAATTCGAGTTCGATGTTGTGTTTTTTACCACGGAAATACATCAGGGAATCTTTTGCTTTATCCGGTTTATCTTGCAGTAATAAAAAAACGGGAGTATCGGGAAAGAAATAAAACGTTACTCCGAAAATTATCGGTACCTGAAATTATTTACGAATTAAATTTTAAGTCGATGATTTTTTTTTTTTACGCGAAATAAATAATTTTTAATTCATTTTGTAAAAAATATTTTAACTTGCCAATCCGCAAATCAATGTACAATAAAATACATCCAATTTACTACTTATCAAATAAATAAATAGGACGCCGAACGATAAAAGCATTTGAAAATAACTTCCTATTATTCCTCTAATCTCCTTTTGACTGATTTCTACTAAATACATTGGTCCACCCACGCACGTAGCTCCAGCGCATATTCCTAAAAATAATCTTCCTGCATAAAGCATTCCTACCTGTAAAATAAATTCATTTTTACAAAACTAATCTCGGTCGTTTTTGAAATGTAAATACGGTTGTATGAATGTACCGATGAAGCCCATAAAAGACATGACCAACCCAATAAAAATATGGGTACCAATCCGAGTAATATCATTTTTCGTCCGATTTTACATGCTACCCATCCGGTGATGCAACAAGACGTTGCTGCTCCCAACATGAGTAGAGATTCCATAAGGGAACATTCATTTTTCGTTATTGTAAAATCGTTATTATCATCAAGGTATTTAGCACTTGCAAAAGATGTCCAACCGAAAGCAGTACCGACAGAGAAAGCTGGAAGACTGGCTGTTGTAAAAAAAAAAAAAAACGATTAATTAAATATCAAATAAAAAATAATTTATTAGTAATAATATAATAATAATAATAATAATTACCGATGCAAGCTCCAATATGTTGAGTCCAAAAGTTTAACGTATTTTTTCTATTCGTTTTAAATTTTAATAACCAATTAAATAAATTATAAGGAATCATAATTTTTTTTTCTCCTTTTGTTTCAAATTCAAAATTTAAATAATAATTGTAGTAGTAGTAAACAGTATGTAGTGAAATTATTTACTTTGCACCTAATTAAATATTTTAATTTATCAAACGGTAAACATTATAAACATACCACAAATTTTCTCATTGCATTTTACTGTTGTTCGAACAGACGGACGGAGAAACTAATTTGTTCCACTTTCTCGCGGTTTATTTTTTTTTTATTTTAAATGTAAGTTAAAACGTAACAACAAACATCGAAAATTAAAACTAAAAACAAAAGAAAAAAAAAAAATTTCAAATTAATTTTAAAACAATGACGATTTAAAAGTAAACATTGCCAGTATATGCTAATTAAAGCATCATGCAATGAATTTTGCATTACCTTTATTTTTTGTTTGCACTATTTTTTGATTACTGTTTAGCTTTTGATTTGTTCTCTTCCATTTTCTCATCAACATTTTATTTTCCATTTCATCATCATCATCATCATCATCATCATCATTTTCCTTATATCCGTGTATCATGCGAATAAGAGGTTTTATTTACTGATGCAATCATCACCATAAAAATTCATGAAAAAAAAAATACAATGCAATGCAAATTATTACGGTTTGCATAATATCTTTAACTAAATTTTAATTGCAAATGATGCTTACGTAGATAGATTTATAAAAATATTGAAAATTTTCAAATTCTATTCATTTTTTTTTTTTTTTAAATCATCATTAAATATACAAAAAAAAAACTTTCATGTTTGCCAACTTTTAAAATTAACAATCATTTTTTAAATAAATAAATTTGTCAAAATAAAATAAGCCCACCATTATCGGTTACTAATAAGTTTTCGTATTTTAACGGTTAAATTTAAACATCGTGTCAAAAGATTTAAATTAAAAATGGCAACCTTGCGTTGATAATGTAAATAATACGTTTATCAAATTTTTTAGTAGATTATTTTAAATCGTTATTTTAATTTTAATTTTAATTTTTTTTTTTGTATATCAATATGCTTACAAATGAGTAAATTTTATTTATATTATTCTTTAATATGCACGATAAGTTTTACGTGTGCCATTTTTATTTTTACTTTTAAATACAATCGTACGGATGGTGGACTATGGGCAGCTTTTGCAAGTAATTGTTTTTTTTTTTTTTACTCGTTTGAACTTTTTTTGAAATTTTTTAAAGTTTTTAAAACGTTATTTTGTTTTATTTAAATGTTTTACTCACGTTTGAGTTTGAAATGGATTGAAATTAATCCCTTATTTTCAGGTGTCAATTCTGGCATATGTTTTTACTTGTACAATATTTACATTGGTAACAAACTTCAAAATCATTTCAGTTTAAAATATTTGAATTATTTATCAGTTATAAGTTTTATCTCTTGTCTAGTTTGCATAGCCTTTGGTATTTGGTATACATTTGCCATTATCTATTGGAAAATTCGTAAGTAAATCAATAAATTTATAAACTTTTACCCACATTAAATTATTCAAATATGTGTTTGTTTATTTCTTACCTCTTATTACAGCATTATCGGAATATGACAGATCTCTTATATTTCCATGCGTCTTTAGTTTTCTCAGTGGAAAATGGGGCTTTCATTTACACACAGCGACAAAAAAATTCATGAAAGAATATACATCTTTCAATTATACTCCGATAATTCAAAACATATAAGATGCTTATGATTAAATATAACTGCAACAATTTAAACGAATCAATTAAAAAAAAAAAAATTTTTTTTGTTGTTATTATATTGAAATTGCATAAAATTATTTTTAAAAAATTAAACTTACCATGACAGTAATATTATGTATGTATTCATAAAAAACTTTTTTTTTTACATTATATCGATTTTTATGTAAATTTTTATGTAAAAATATCGTTTTGAAATTTTCTTTTCTATTTTATATATATATATAGTTAATATATATTTATGTTTTTAATGTGTGATGATTTAGCAAAATGACAATTTTAATTTTTTTTTCTTTTTCTAGAATTTTAAATATGCAAAAACGATAATAATGTAATTGTTTTGAAAATTTTTTTGTTGTTGTTATGAAGAAATTTATATAATGTTGTTACTTAATTTTTTTTTTTAATAAAAATTATATATATATATAAGAAATTTTACATTTTTTTTTCCCTTTGCATTCATTCTTCATAATCTATTCGTTTAATATTATTATCATCATTAATATAAAAAAAATATTAACTAAAATAAAAATATTATTATTATTATTAGTAAAATTTTATTAGTTCTATGTTTTTTTTTTTTTTTTTTTGAATTTTTTATAAATACTATGTTTGTGTCTATGTTTAAAACTGTTTACATATGTACTGTTTACATTTTGAACAAGAAAAAAAAACATTAATTAATTAATTAAATATAATATATATATATATTAATTAATTAAAAATCATGGCAAATTGTCAAGATAAATGTTTCATATCGTTAGTCGCTGAAACTATGGCTTTAAAACAAAAATTTAAATGTTATGTTAAAGAAAAAGAAAAAGCCAAACGTGGAAAAGTAACAACCGATTGTGATTCAAATGAAATTATTCAATCTCATTATTTGTAAGAAAAAATTTTCACTTAAAAACGCATAAAAAAATACAATAATAATAATAATAATATTTAAAACGTTTATATAATTTGGTACGTTTTTTTTGTTTTGCCTACAGAAATCAATATTCAAAAGATGCAAGAGTTTTTCAAAGTTTTTTAACAGAAGATTCTTTTTATAATTTTTTATCAAAAAGTGTTTTAGGTTTCATAGGTAATGCAATACTCTAACTTATTATTATTATTATTATTTTAAATTTATAAGTTAATAATTAAAATGAATTTTACCTTCAGGTGGAATATTTTTAACATATGCATGCTTCATGTTTTTGGTATTTTCATTAAATTTTACTCTCGATAGAGCAACTTTTATATGTATGTGCTTGAGTGTGATATTATCATTAGGATTAGCTTTTTCTGTAAAAATCAGGTGATTATAACATTTACAATGAAATTATTTTTTTAAATATTAATTTAACAAATTTAACAAAATTTATACGTTGTGTAGATGTACAGTGTTCTTATGCATACCACAATTATTTTCTAAAAGAGGAAGGCAAGCTCTTTTGGCATACGCCTTCATTTTAGCTCTTTCCGGTCCCGCCAAAAATACATTACATAACGTTGAAGTTATGAGTGAATCATTAGCTTGCGGACAGGTACTAATTTTTACCTCTTTTTTTTTATAATTATCAATTAATATGTAATTTGTTGTCGTTTAAAAAAAAAAAACCTCTTAAAACGACCTCTTCATCATTATTATTTTCAATGTTTTGACTGAGGAATTTTAAGGAACAAGTAAAGCAAACCGAAAATGAATTATTAAAATTTGTTAGAAAACCTAATGCCATTGCAAAAAAATCAATAGAAAAACTATTGGAAAAAATTAATTTAGCAGTGAAAGATTTCAAAAATTTCATAACACGATTCTACAGATCGTGTTTCAATATATGTAAGTTTTCGAGCACGTAAAAATAATTTTTTTGTTTTTTTTTTCCAACTTGATACTAAAATATTTTGCGTTTCGTAGTGGAAACATTATTTCATACTCAAAAATGGATTCATAGCATTATTTCATTGTGTAATGAAAAAATGGGTGAACCAACTCACCGTTGCGAATCCCTTTTAAAAAGTTCCATTTCGATTTGCGAGGTGCGCTAAATTTTCTCTTATTTTTTTCACGTTTTTCATTCCTTATTAAAAATATATAATTTCATTTTTTTTTCTATATATATTATATAGTCAACTTGCGATTTAATGTATTGGAAAAAACTTTGCAATATTGATTATAATAAATTCAAAATGATTTGTTGTAATTATAATTATCCGATATGCGATCCGAACGATGCGCCGCCTGGTTGCAACATTCAAAACTTTAAAAACCGTTAGTTTAAAATTCCCGCATTTCTTATCTGAAAAAAAATTCAAAATTCGTTATTTATATGTTTTTCATTTTAAAAAAAAGAGTACTACTCTTTTTCAGTACTTGAAAATTTTAAACGTCGAGCTTTAAATATTTTATACGTAAAAGTTAACATTCATCAAATATATTCGCAATCGAATCGATCCATTTATCACGAAGAATATCAAGGTATGGCTACGGAAATTAGACAGAAAACGGATCAATTTCTACAATACGTTGATTTTATGAGCGTTATTTTCGGAATATTTATACTCGTCCTTTTTGTCAAGTAAGATTTCATTCAAAATTATTACTTTTAATTATTTATTATTTAAAATAATCGGAGATTCCTTGACTTCAGAGTTATCATTTACCGCCATAAATTTTTAACCGAAGATCATTATGATAATAGATTCATAACTCCGGATTTCGAAGATATAGATTACACGAGAGCTCAATTTAAAATGGAAACCATTTTACCATTGAAACCGAACGAAAGAAAACAATATATAAAAGTATATAGTTTTATAATAATAATGATAATGATACCTTAGTGTGATTGATATTCCATCGAACTCGTTGTCGTTTAGGTAACGTCCATAAGGTTGGTACCTTGTGAAAAAATCCGTTTGCTCTCATCTTTTATTTTTTTGATATTTGCCACGTTTAAAATTGTCGTTCACATGTTGACGGATTCGTTTCTATATTGGATTCTATCATCTGTAAGACAAAATGAAAGAATGTTATATATGAGCAGTTTAAAAGGTAAGTTTACGAAATGTAAAAAGGTGTAACCTTTCATTAAGAGAAAAGCTTCAATTGATGGTTTCTCCAAAAAAATCCTAACGACATTTTACTTGTCCGTTACAGATCGAGAATACGATTTAAAAGTCAAAGTTGTCGGTAAAGGATTGATTGCAAGTTTTTTACAAAATGTAACGGATGCAGTTGTAAAACAATATTCTTCACACAAATTAGATCCGACTCCTTGTTTACCAGATCCTTTATCTCCAGACTGGAATAGATATTATCAAATTTGTAAGAAGTAATCTCTGTAGCATTTAAAATCAAATCGTTATTTTGAATAAAATAATAATAATAATTACTTTTATTTATAAAGTGGCATTAATTTTAATTTGCTGGCTTCTTGCATTATTCGAACCTTACGGCTTGAGACTTCGTCATACCGTCATGGTCACATATCATCCTGATAGGGCAAGAGAAAGAGCCATTTGGTTGTACAATAGAATCATTTCGAATAGAAACCTTTATGTGAAAATAGCAAGACGGGAATTGAGAAAAAAATATAAAAATTCCACGCTGGAACAATCGATTTTTAAGTACGACATTAAAAATTTTTCATTTTAAAGATTAAATAATTGAATATTAATTGTCAAAAAATTTTTTTTTTAGATTTAAACTCATGAAAACTCAAACCGTAACGAAATGTTTGCTTTGTAAAGTAAAAATAACGAGCGAATATAGTAAAATTAAATGTAATACGGAAAAATGCGTCGGTGTTTATTGTAACGATTGTTTTTCCATATTAAAATGTTGCAGTATTTGTACAGATCCAGTGGATTATGGCGATTTGAGCGATTATTCAGAAGAAAAGCAAGTTTGACTGAAAAAAAAAAAACAAAAAAAGTTATTAATTACGAATAACAATACCAACAAATTTATTTGCTGTTGTAGGGATTCTTCTGAAGATGAAAATGTTTGTAATTGTGCCAAAGAAAGAAAAAGTTCACATTATAAAGTACGAAAAAGAAAAATGATTTTGAAAGAGTCTGCGGCGAGTACATCAAAAGACTCTGAAAGAAAATCAAATTTATCTCAACGTACTAAAAAAGATTTCGAAACGGAAATGAAAAGATATAAAAAATCTTGTAAAAATAAAGATAGTTTAATAGAATTAAAATTTATAAAAAAAGCAATGGAAAAATTTGAAAACAAACCTCACAATTCCGATCGGAAAACTAAACGAGCATATTCTCATGTAAATGCAGATTCCGAATCAAGCGAATGGAACGAAGAAGTTTCGATGTCTGATTATCGCGATACAACTAAAAAAATAAATTTAAATAAATTGATTATTGGGAAAAAATTAAAAAATGAAATGAGTTATTTGATTAAAATCCCTGACAACAACGCATATTGCAAAACGAATAGAGAACATCAAATGGTAAAAAAAAAAAATGATGACGATTATCTTTTACCCCCTGAAAATTTTCCTGCAGAAGAAAAATTTCAAAGGGTTATAGAATTAGATGAAAAACAAGAAAAGGTTAAACCAGATTTTTGGTTTAAAACGATAAGAAAAGGTTAGTAATGCAAAGTTTACATCATAAAGGCATCATTAAAACTAAATGAAAGTCATCCTTTCATACAAATAACACTATTTATTGTGTGTGTAGGAGCAGAAGACAAAGGATTTAGAAAAAAAGATTCATTCAAATCCGATAGGGGATTACCCACATTGTGTAAAAAAAAATCAACGGAAAAAAAGAAAAAAAAAATTAATAATGTAAAAAATAAAATTAAAACTGGAACGTCGTCGTTGTCGTGTCCATTAAGTAAAAATCAAGAAACTCAAACGCCCACGCAAAACCAATCGGAATTTTTTGATAATAAATTTAAACCTATGTTATCAGAAAGGGATTATGATAAACCTTCGACGAGTAAAGAACATGGAGGAGGAAACGTATTAGAGCGTAAGGAAAGAGTATGCTTTCATGGAAAATCATCATCGGTTCCATCAGAAGATAAAAAAATTGGAGATGAAAAAATGACGACCATCGGACCATCTTTTAATGTAATTTCAAAATCGAAAAAACGAGAGAAATGGTTTAATTTCGAACAGGAGAAAATACGTCGAATTATTCCCGATTTTAAATTTCCTCGTCATAGAATTTGTTCGAAAAAATTTAATTCCTCTGATTCTTCATCAGCTGATGTTTTACGTGTTTGTAAACGTAAAAGCCCTTCGTCATCAATGGAAAGCCAATTTAAAGTCAGCCATTTTTTTTTTTTTTCCTCCTTTTGTAATACATTTCATAACCCTGAGAAGGGGGTGAGGATGGGGGGTTAATTTCGTGTTAATGCTTTGTTTTAAAAATAATTATTAACAATTAAGTATTACCTTAAAGCCATTTTAGTTTAAAATTACAAAAATTTTGTATTGTTACTATTAATAATTTGTATTTACCATTGATTCTCTCTCCATTGATTTACTTATGCATCCTTTTTTTTTTTTCTTTTTCCGTTACAGTATTTTAATCAAAGTTATTATTCATCAGACTCCAAACACGAAAATGATAAAATATCAAATTCACAACATGATAAACCGTTAAAATCATCAAAAGAAAAATTTGTTAGCATGGAATCATTGAAAAAGGTTTTGTACCACCTGTAAAAGAAAGATTTTTTAATGTTTAACTTACGGCGGTGATTTTAAATTTTTTTTTGATTTTACTGTCGTAGATAAAAGATGGTATTAAAAATTTACCACAGAAAAAAATGTACGATGTCGAAAAACAAACGTTCGGAAATAATTATAAAAGATTTGACACTCCTACCGCTTTCCACAAGTCGGCGATAAAAAAAACGATTGCACCTCTAATTCAAAGTCACAGAAATAAAAATGAAAACTTATTGAATAAAAAATCAAGTCATATTTCTTGGGCACCTGATTTATTATCCGATTTGCCTTCGAGTAAGCAAGATAGTTCCGATCATACAACGGATAAAGAATCTAAATGAAAAAAAAAAAAAAAATGGCGTCCGCTTCATTTGCATAATTATTCGATTTTTCGTTTGTAATAAAATAATAATTTTTTTGATAATTATTCTACCTGTTTATTAAATATAAATCAATTTCAATAAAATATTTATATTTTTAAAACGAAAATCAATTACATAATTAATTAATTCTCATCAATTTACAAATAAATTTTATTCTTATCCATTAACGATACGCCTCCGTCAAAATTTTAACAATTAACTAACTGTCCGTGTGTTCGTGTGTGCTAACCGTTTTGTCGCAACCTTGCAAATTCTTCATATGACGTCATCGTAAAACAATTTTACAAAATGAGAAAACGTGTTTTGCCATAAGGTAAGTATAAACACTCACGGGTTAATTATTAATTTGGCGCAAAAATGTCGTTTCATTTGTTAGAGAGAGAGAGAGAGAGAAAAACAATCAGTCATGTGTCATGTTTAAAAAAAAAAAGAAATTTTGTAAAGATTTTAATTTATTATTTCTGTCACTTAGAAAACCTTATTTTATTTTTTAAATTATAAATTTCAAAATGTAATATTTATAAATAAAAAATTATTTATTTAAAAACGTAATAGAAGTAAATCCCCGTGGATTGAAGATGTTTTTGTAATGTGGTTCAAAGGACATTTCGTACATCATCATCAAAAGATGAAATTTTGTTTTTAAGGACATAATTCGATTAATTAAAAAAAATTAAATAGTGTTTTAGGGTCATTACACTCACATTAAATATATTATTATTATTATTACTCATTACGCAAGTAAATCAAATTTAAAAAAAAAAAAAAATGGATATTTTGAAACGTTAATGGTAAACGTAGTTCTTTGCATTTGAACTTCTCGTAACAGAAATTTTGTAATTTTTTAAAAAATTTACACTCGAACGTTTTAATAAACACACACACACACACAGACAAAAACGTTTTTTTATTGTTTTCTATTGTGCATCGATGCGTAACGTTTTTTTTTTTTTTTTTTTTAAATCATTTTACCTTAATCGTGTTCGATTTTAACAATTGAATTAATTAACAATTAAAACGTTTAACATGTCGACATTAAAAAAAATGACGTCATCGATTCGCGATTCTATTTTTTCGCGATTATTCCTCACCTTAATTGTTTCTCTCTCTCTCTCTCTCTTCATTTGCAAATTAACGACAATAAATTAAAAATAAAATTTTTTTTTTTACAAGGTTAAATCACTTTTAGATAATCAAATGTCAATATTTTAATTTTTTTATACGATCGTTAAATACTTTTTTTCCCCCGATATTTATTTATTCTATGATTTTTTATCGTCTGCATTTAATTTTCTGTACTGACCAAACAAACAAACAAACAAATCCCGCGGAAGCGTTAAAATTTTTTTTTTTTTCAATTCGTGACGCAATTTAATTATTATTATTATTATTATTATTATCGATTTTATTCGTTAATTTTTAAATATCGATAATAATAATAATAATAATAATAATAATAATAATATTTATTAAAACGCGGTAATTAATTACACATACATAAGTGAAAACAATTTCATTAGGAAATAATTAAAAACTCTGTAATAAATCGATTAATTTTCTTTTTAAAATCGTTTACAAAACTATCGTACGTGATTTATTATTATTATCATTATCATTATTATTATTATTATTATTATTTAACGATCGTTATTCGATACGAAAGGATTGGTTAATAATAATAATAATAATAAAGACCGTTGAAAAATGTGAAAGAATGAAAAACGATTACGTAATTGTTTTTTTTTTTTTTTTTTGTAAAAGGATTTGTAACCGTTACAAAACGTTCCGGAACGCAGATAAAATTTGAAAAAAAAATTTAAAACCGTTTTTATCATTCCCTTCTTTTTGCAAACGTTCGCGCTTTTAATAATGATAATAATAGTAATGAGTTTCGCGATTTTGTATTTTTTTTTTTTAAATAAATAAATAAATAAATTTGATAATAATAATAATTGTATCGTTCGTAACGAAATTTTTACATAAATAAATAAATAAATGAAAATTCGTTGGACGACTGCGTGTGTATGTGCGTTAACACACATAAAAAAAAATAAATAAACGCGAAAAAATAATAATAATAATAATAATAATAATAATATTTGTAAACTGTTAAGTCATGTGAGTTTTGTTCTCCTCCTAAACGATAAAAAAAAAATTTTTTTTTTTTTTTTGCTTTCACTTCCAATTTTTTTTTTTTTTGAACCATCATTTCCGCCGCCATCTTTAACCGTTTTTCTTTCTTTTTATCCATTTTGTTGAATATATAAAAAAAAATCTAACTGCACTTTTTTTTTATGCTAACTATGTAACGTTGTTGTTGTCGTTGTCGTTGTTGTTGTTGTGGTTGTTGTTGTTGTTATTTTAAAATTAAATTTCAAATCCACAAAAGATTTTTTTAACAAAGGTAACAAATCACACAAAATGTTTTTTTGTTTAAACGGTGGTGAATGTAAAATATTTCTTATTTTTAATATAAAAAAAATTGATTATTATTATCATTCAAGTTTTTTATTAAAAAAAAAATAATAAATTATTTATTTATTTATTTATTGTTTAACTTGAATTAACTTGTTTTTGTTTATTCCTTTCCATTAAATCATTATTAATTGCATGGATTTTAAAATGGAGTCTCGATTCAAGCGAATATCCGGTATAATTTTTTTTAGCATCATCCAAATATTGATGAACCTTTTCATAATTACCCCTATCCAATTCCAACAAAGCTAATTCGACGATTGCAAAAGGTGTTAAAAAGGTATCTTCTTTTAATTTTTTATAAGATTTAACGACCGTTTTGAAAGCTTCTTCCGCCTGCAGATTTGCTTTCATGTGTCTAAGGCACGCGCCGCGTAACAATTCCAACAAGGCTCTGTTATCATCGTAATATTCCATATCCTTGTTTAATTTTTTCAATTCTCTCTCTACTAAAACGTGAACGTTTTGCACGAGTTGTAATTTTTTACCCAAAACTTTAAAAAAATTCCAGATGTACATGAGTTCGATGACGGGGAGGCAAAGCCATTTTTTCTGTGCGAAAAATCTTTCCGTTCTCTTAATGGCAAATTTTTCAAGTGGAAGCGATTTTCCAGCGATTCTCTGCTTGTAATTCGGTGCGTTTTTCATCAACTGACTTATCTCTTGTCTTTCGTCCCGCGAAAGGCTTTCCTCCATCATCAACAATATCGATGCTTTCTGATACGAATAAATGGTTCTCGACCATTTTGAATCCGTCAACAGGTAACCCGCATACAACGAAGCTTCTTTCCAATCTTGATTCAAACTGCACGACCACATCAATTCCCAAAAACACAAATGATGAAATTGCGGCCATACGGATTGTGATCCCCAGGATTCTTTGTACCATCTTTGAGATTCTTTTAAATTCCCTTTCATCAATTCCAAACGTCCTTTGAAAAATAAAAACCACGCGCCTTTCGGATACATTATTAATTCTTCTTTTAATATTTTTTCGCACAGCATCAAATCACCCTCTCTGTGACTAATAGTGTACGTGACTATTAAATTATATGCCAGTATCATCATGACGCATAATATTTGTCGTATCCCGTTTTTAAGGTTGCATCCCTGTTCCAATTCGGACAAACCGAATTTTCTACTACCCGAAAACCCGATGAATTCCAATAGTTTTTTCGCACGACTAGGCAATAACGAGATCATTAAATTAAAAGCTCCGATTCCCATTTTGACTCCGCTTTCGTAATGAACGGCCAATTTTTTATTCGTCCACTTGTGAGTTTTCAATATTAAGTTACATTCTTTGTACGTGTTATAACACGAACGGATTTTCAAACTTGCTTTTATAAAGCTCACCAATGTTTCATCTTCTACGAATGAAAGCATGGCTTTCAGGAGTAGGGATTCGGCAAAGCAAAGTTCGGCGTGAGCTTCTTCCGGTGAAAAATTTTCATAATTCGTACGACGAACCATTTTTCCCAATGCGTTTCCCTTGTGCCTGTAACTGTTGCAAACTGCCAGAGAGGTTTTCAATGCAGCCGAAGCTTTTTGAATTTGTTTGTGTTCGAACGTCATGAGCGCTTCCAAAAATTCAAAAACGCTTAATCCGAGCGCGTGATACATGCTGGATTTTGACCAGGGTTCCAGTATTTTTCTAGCATCTTCGAAATTATTATTGAAAAAATAATGCACGGCGAGACAAGCGTTATCTATCAATCCTTCAAAATCAACGTTTGAATTCATGACTGGAATTTCTTCGGCGTCTTCAAATTCGCTATCGTCATCCTCCAGATCATCGTCGAAAAGGCCCGAATCTACTTCGGCCATATTGAAATCTCCAAAGACTCTAAAAAAAAAAAATTAAAAAATTATGAAACGATTGGCGCGAACGATTTTTAAAAATTTTTAAATCGACGGAAACCGGAAACGGAAATTCTTTTTTTTACGTTTTACGTATCATCATTCGACGTTAAAGAGTTTAATATTTAAATAATAATAATAATTTTTCAAATACCTGCCATTTTTTTTTTTTTTTTAAAAAAAGATAAAACGAATTATTCCAAAACAAAAGTTTTTGTTTTTGTAATCGACGCGAATGACTGACTGACTGATTGATTGATTGATTGATTGAATGACTGATTTTTTACGTTATTATTCACTTGTTTTTTTTTTTTTTTTATATTCTCATGGCAACTGATTGTTTTAATTGAGA